GGGGACAAGAGGCAGGGAGGCTTAGGTAGGGGGTAGAGTCCTGGGGGGCAGTTAGGGGCAGGGGTCCCAGGAGGGGTCAGTCAGGGGACAAGAGGCAGGGAGGCTTAGGTAGGGGGTAGAGTCCTGGGGGGCAGTTAGGGGCAGGGGTCCCAGGAGGGGTCAGTCAGGGGACAAGGAGCGGGGGGAGGGTTAGGGGTTCTGGGGGGGGGTGGGAAGTGGGGGGGCGGGGCTAGGGCAGGACAGGGGCGGGGCTCCTTCCGTCCTCTTTTTTGCTTGCTGAAATATGGTAACCCTAGAGTTGGTACTGCCCAGCAGGAGGGAGTACAGTGCAGCTGGGTGCCCCACGTGTCCATGGGCTGCCAGTCGTAGCTTGTCTGGCTGTTCCTCTTGGACTTGTGACCTATTGCCAGGTGAGCTAATGGCTTCATAGTGCTCCCCGTGCCGCACCCGCCTTCCACCCAGGGCTCCTCAGGGACTAGGATAGGCATCGATCTCCTATGTGCCACTCTGCCATTCTCGTAGAGGGGCTCGGCTTGGGCCCAGCTGTTAGTGACACTGCAGAGAGGTGCCTGCCCTTGTGCTCTCGCTACCAGCCCCCAAGCCCGGGGCTGTGAATGGACTCCCGCTTGCCTGCCTGCAGCATCGTTCCGTTGGGTGCAGTGCCCCAGGTGCCCACACACAAAGGGACTCATTAGTTTGATGGGATGGAGCCTGGATCAACTGAGTGCCATGGAGAATGGGTCCAGGCTGCAGCAGCCAGAGCAGAGCTTTTAGCAAAACATCCCTTCTTGAGTCAGACCTGGCCAGCGATGGAGGATCCCCCACGACCTTGGTTCCAATGGTTAAACGTCAGCTTCCAGCAATTGGGTCTAGTTAGACCTTTGTCTGCTGCACTGAAGAGCCCCCACTTGTCAGATTTCTGTTCCCCACATCCCGCCCCTTATCCGCCTCTTTGTTAAGCTGAACAGACGGCGCTCCTGGGGTCTCTCCCTGCCCCCTCCTTCCCGTCTCTCTCTCTCTCTTGCAGGTGGTTCGGGAAGTGCTGGTACATCCATGACCTGCTCAAGTATGAGTTTGCCCTCGAGTTTGACGTGAGTGTCCCTGGGGCGGGGGCATCTGAGGGAGGAGGGCCCTCCTGCTCTGCTCCGAGGCTGGGGAAGGGAGGGGTTTCTCGTCCACTTCCTGCGGCACTGGAGGGAGCAGGTGGGAGCTGGCCCTGGCTAGGTTCGCAGCATCGCTGTCCCCCTGGGCCTCAGGAGCCAGGGGCTGAGGAAGGGAACACCCTGAGGATGTTAACCGGGAAGGGGCAGAGAATCGCCCGCCCCGCAGGGTGAGAGCGAGCAGGAAGGAGTCCTGTGGGACTTGGGTAGTGCAGGGAATAAAATTCTGCCACCTTGAACTAGTGTTTTCCATGCCTAGAATTCAGCTGGCACAGAATCCCTCGCACTCTGAGCGAGCCGGGAGCAGGGAGCCCTTTACACAGAGCTTTGCAATGGAACGCGCCACAAACCGGACCAATGGGATTGTGTCGGGGAACTTTGTGTAACGTGGGGCTAGCAAAGGGCTCTGCCTCAATGGGGCCCTGCCCCCTCCTGCCCCTCCTAAACTAGGGCATCCCCCTCCCGCCTACCCACGAGCTTCCACTTCAGCATCTGGGATGTAAACTCAGTAGGGAGCTCACAGGGGTCTAGGCTCAGTGCTCCCAGCTGTGTGGCTGAGCAGAGAGAGCAGCAGCTGGGAACTTGGGGTACACATACTGCTCCCCAAGGGGAGGGGGGCTGGCGTGGCCATGGGCACACTTAGCAGGTTTTTTTGTTTGCAGATTCCCGTCACGTACCCGTCCACCGCCCCCGAAATCGCCATTCCAGAGCTGGATGGGAAAACGGCCAAGATGTACAGGTCAGGCAGCCCTGGCCCGCTCCCACCTCCGCTCTCTGCAGGCCCTAGGGACCAGAGCTCCTGACTCAGATCCCAGGCTTTGGTTGGGTCTGTCTTTATATCGCTTCTTCCATCCCACTGATGTGTATAGGCTGTGGGAGGAGTCTCAGCTGTTGGTAAATGCAGCTGCCTCTGGGGTGAAACATGGCAGCTGTTGCTCAAAGCACAGGAAAGCAGCCCCTTGATGCAGGACAGAAAGTGGAGGAGATGCCATGTCTGAGTTGAACCCCAGGCGTCCGGATGAGGCAGGGGAGATGGTGCCAGGCCTGTGAGAGCTGCAGCTCCGTTCTGGGGCTGAGTGGGCTTGACACCCCTATGGCAGTGCCTCCGCATCTCCCCTGGTCCCACCATGCCAGGCTCTGGGCTCTATCTCCCCTCCGCGTCTCCCGTGGTCCTACAAGCCAGGCTCTGTCCTCCC